AGAATGGGGAGTGTTTGGCCTCGGAGTGAAGGAGTAGGTGTTTAGATGTGGGCGTTGACGAAGCTGGGTCTGTTTAGTGGGCCATTGTTGACGCCAAAAGTGTTGGATGGCTTGCTTGTCTGCACTCTGCGCAGCCGTTTCACGGAACATCTCTCGAGTCTTGCATGAAACGACCGTCACTGTCGTAACAAAAACAGCGAAGGATATATTTAAATCATTGCAGACGTCGCATCACGATGGATTGAGATTTTGTGAAGTTTGGACGTTATTCACAGCTGTAGATCTTTATGAATGTGTACTTGGCATTCATGACAGTACTGAATGGACCCCCTCCCCCCCCACACACACACATGCACACACGTTAGATGATGTAAAAGGCCAATTATACGGGCGATGGTTAGTTTATGCATCAACAACGGTCTACGATGACTGATAAGGCAGATTAATAATCATGATGAGAGAATTCCGATCATGAGATGCATCTTTTTCACTAGATCTGAGTCTCCAAGAGATTAAAAACGCTTTTATTATGGCTTTGTGCAATGACGCACGTCCAATATACGCGGTTGTTCAGCGGCACAGTATATCTTCAGGCGCAAACAAGTAGCGACATCTAGTGACAGGTAGTAGAGATTAACTCGTAATTTGCAGATGCGTATAAACGGGCAGTATTTGGTCGTAGAAACAAAAATGTATTTTCTCTCTCTCTCTCTCTCTCTCTCTCTCTCTCTCTCTCTCTCTCTCTCTCTCTCGTCGCTCGCTCGCTCGCTCTCTCCTTCTCTTTCTCGCCCAACCAAACCAGACACCACCCGTGCCTGGTTTGGTGATCCATCCCCTTACCAACAACCGGCTCAATGTCCAATATAGAGGATTACAGCCGTCTCCAATGATCGATAACGCCCATACCTGACTCGAGTACGCTGGCTAGACACAGGGCACGCGCCCTATCGATTCCAAGTACAATGTCCTATCGTCTTCGAGCACGAGGCCCCATCGATTCCGAGTAGGTACGCGGCATCTTACCGATTCTGCTGACCAGTTACCGAGTCGTATACCGGCGGGGTGTGTCAAGAGAATCATGGTCTGGCCGAATATTTCCCATTATGCTAGGACGTTTTAGTTGATCATGCATAATTAACTCAAGTGCGCAATTCGCAATTCAAAATTTGAAGGATCGTTTCCGTTAAATTTTATTTTGATCTTCCCGAAACAACGCTGCTCCAGCCCCAACATGCACCGGTCGAGCTCCCGGACCCCGGGGCGTGGTTTAGGTATCCGGTCTGCCGCTCAGGTTCGTTCCGGTTCGTTTCAATTCGTTCCGGTTCGGGGCGCACGAAACAATACAGAAAAGTGCTCGGACTGTTTTGGCTTGGACCATGTGTCACTGACGAACATGTCGGTAAAATGGCCCAGCCCGCACGGTTTGCCGCTGACACTGGCGAATGGCGTTATAACGCAGATCGTTTAATGACAGCTGAGAGATGGGTTGTATTGAGAAGCTAATGGTTTAATGAGTGCTGTTGCGATCTCACTGTCAACAACCGTTAGTTAGCGCAGTTATCTAATACAGCAAGTCATAACTGGCGAGTCTGTACAGCGGCAACTGATCGGTTCGTTAGAGTGATAGCACGGAAGATTTACAGAGTTAAGTCCCCTAAAAACTCCGTAAAATTGAACATTCAACAATATTTTGCTACTTCTTTTACTGAATGAATATCAACTCTGTCCTATAATTTCCATCAACGATTATGGGAAATGCGGCAACGATAACCCACTATACCTAAGTGTAACGTTTTCGCATTTGTTCTGTTTACAGACAAGTCTGCGGGTGTCAACGATGACAGCTTCAGCACCTTCTTCCTGGAGACCGGAGCAGGAAAGCACGTGCCCCGCGCCGTGTTCGTCGACCTGGAGCCTTCCGTAGTCGGTACGTATGTGAACTGTCATAGAAATCGATGCATGCTGTGAAGATGAGTCTTATGACGTTATTATTTCATGCGTGCTTGTCGATATATCATCGTCCCACCATTCACATATTTTATTAGGGCTATTTGCGTTATTTGCGTTGGCTATGTACAAATAACAAATGTGTTCTTTTGCTGCATTTGACTCTCACACACGTTGCTTGCAGTTGTCGATTTTTAATTCAGTTTTCAGGCCAGCGCTTTGCACCAACCCTCCTGTACTCGATGCCTATAGCCGGTAATGTCATTTCCACCCCTCCTCTCCTCAGACGAGGTGCGCACGGGCGCCTATCGTCAGCTGTTCCACCCGGAACAGATGATCACCGGCAAGGAGGACGCCGCCAACAACTACGCCCGTGGCCACTACACCATCGGCAAGGAGATCGTCGACCTGGTGTTGGACAGAGTCAGGAAACTCTCCGACCAGTGCACCGGTCAGTAACAGCTTATCCTGCCTGATTTCATTTAATTCGGGAACTAAAGGTCATTAGGCCTGGCGTCCCCGCTCTCTTCGAGCCAGATGTCAAGTGATAAACGGTCATGAGCTTCGGAAGCTAATACATTTAGTACTAGTCAGTAAGAATGCATGTAACGGTCAGTTGTAATGGCATTCAATATTGTTCGTGGTGCTCTTTTACCGTTCTTAAATATCAATTTTAAATATACCGTTTCAATTTGCTTGCACTTTGGAAAATGCCGACTTCATTTCAATGCTCTTACGCTTGTCTCTTTAAATGTTTGCGTAATGGAAGCAATGTTTGATGAAACATTTACATGGTATGGTACACAAGCAAGGTAATGTCATTAAAAGCCTAATTTTTTAATCCTATTTTTAATTTCCATGTTTCTGAGTTCCGACCTACGGGGAAATGTTGCTTTCCGCTGCCACCGTCCAACAGTTTATGCCAACGCGTCTTTCTTTTTCCGCAGGTCTGCAGGGTTTCCTGATCTTCCACTCGTTCGGCGGCGGCACCGGCTCCGGCTTCACCTCGCTGCTGATGGAGCGTCTCAGCGTCGACTACGGCAAGAAGTCGAAGCTGGAGTTCGCCATCTACCCTGCGCCGCAGGTGGCCACGGCCGTGGTGGAGCCGTACAACTCCATCCTGACCACCCACACCACCCTGGAGCACTCGGACTGCGCCTTCATGGTCGACAACGAGGCCATCTACGACATCTGCCGCCGCAACCTGGACATCGAGCGTCCGTCCTACGCCAACCTTAACCGTCTGATCGGCCAGATCGTCTCCTCCATCACGGCCTCGCTGCGCTTCGACGGCGCCCTGAACGTGGACCTGACCGAGTTCCAGACCAACCTGGTGCCGTACCCGCGTATCCACTTCCCGCTGGTCACCTATGCTCCGGTCATCTCGGCGGAGAAGGCCAACCACGAGCAGCTTTCGGTCTCCGAGATCACCAACTCCTGCTTCGAGCCGGCTAACCAGATGGTCAAGTGCGACCCGCGCCACGGAAAGTACATGTCCTGTTGTCTGCTTTACCGTGGAGACGTCGTCCCGAAGGACGTCAACGCCGCCATCGCCACCATCAAGACCAAGAGGTCCATCCAGTTCGTCGACTGGTGTCCGACCGGCTTCAAGATCGGCATCAACTACCAGCCGCCGACCGTGGTGCCCGGCGGCGACCTGGCCAAGGTGCAGCGTGCCGTCTGCATGCTGTCCAACACCACCGCCATCGCCGAGGCCTGGGCGCGCCTGGACCACAAATTCGACCTGATGTACGCCAAGCGCGCCTTCGTGCACTGGTACGTCGGCGAGGGCATGGAGGAGGGCGAGTTCTCCGAGGCGCGCGAGGATCTGGCCGCGCTGGAGAAGGACTACGAAGAGGTCGGTGTGGATTCAGCGGATATGATGGAAGACGAAGGCGAAGAATACTAATCCAGACATCATCCGATGTCGCGCTTCGGTGGTGCTACGGCTTACAGAATCGACAGGCCGATGCTGTCAAATCGAAGCATCCAACTCGATCATTGTGGTGTTCCTGTCACTGTGATGTACTTGCTCATATGCACTGAGATGTCATATGCTATCTGACGCAGCTAATCGTGTATGAATTGAAATTCACCTGGCCAGGTATTCGCAATGTGCACGCACGGATCGATCATCGAGATCCCAAGGACCAATAAACGTAACCCATGAAACCCTGTCGTGAAATGTTACACAGTTAGGCAGTTGACGGATTTATGATCTAGTATCGGCATTCCCTCCATTCATTCGGTCGGCTCCTAAGGTTGGGGCTCGGGCTGTGTGTCTGCTCATGCTGCAGTGTCACTAGCATCCGTCGCAGCCAACTCCGATTTACCTACCGTACTTTCCCTATACATTTGCTACACATACATGCCGTATGTAAACATTTAGACAGGTGATTCCAAGACGCTGTCAGTGGTTACTCTCAGTGATCAGTAGTGATAGCTGGCTGGAAGGGTGGGACAATCCCTGAATGAAAGTAATGCTTGGTAAACACTTGACATATTTAAGTACCAGTGGATCGTATGGAATTATGGATCCGATCGAAAACATGCCTGCCAAAAGGCGACTTCATTTGAAACCAAAAGATTAGTGGGAAAACCGAAGCTCGGTCACACTGAAATCTAGATGGCAGATTTAGTAGCTTATGTGTGATAGGTATAAGAAAAACACAACTCTGAACGAATGGTGGCTGTCACGGGTGGAACCCTGTGCGGCCGCTGGGAGGGCCCGGGCGCAGCAAATCCGCCGCCGCTAGCGGTGACCTGAGCTCCGCGGTCTGTTGCGGCTCCAAAGCCAAGCCGGCGTCGAATTTGGAAAGCTCGGGCCCTCCCAGCTCGGCGGAAAGTTCCACCTATGGTGACTGTTAATTTAAAACAAAACAATCCTGTTATAATGCAGCTGTAATGCATTGCACATGAGGATCAGAGTCCATAAAGTATTTTCTTTACTCACCCATGAAATATGGCAGCCCACATCGATGTGTATTTATGCGCAAGTGCGACATTTACGAAATCACGATATTGCCGAATGCCGTTGATAATAATTTTAATTATTTGATTTTTGTTGCGTCGGTGAGGGTTGTTCCGGTTCAAATAATTTAAAATAATCCGTTTTGAAAAAATATTCGTTTTTCAGCTTTATCTCAAAGCAGTATTATCGTGCTGCCAAGCCAACAGACTGGTGTTTGATTCATCTGTGATTGAATCGATTGGATTGAATCAAACAAAATTTGTTGAATCAAAAAGGTTTGATTCACCGTCAGGATTGTTTGATTCACAAGCCATGATTGGATCAAACGCATTGGGAATCAGGGTTGATTGAATCAAAAAAATTAATGATTCATGAAGTTTGTTGTTGTTGAGGTCCTCTGTAAGAGGTCCTCAAGGACTGTGTATCAGTATATGCTTGATATCCATTATAACCAGTAAAACGCCTTTTGGGCGAAGAACGAGCGAGCGAGATAGTGAGCCCTGCACGTGCGGAAGGGCGAGAGGGTACTTCCAACGGGCTTGTGCAAAGCACCCTTCTAACCGGTTGCTAGCGGTGTGCCAAATTTGAACGCAATCGGCCCAGCCGTTCCTGAGATCTGGAAGCGGCATTCTGCACGTGCGCACGTGCAAACGGGGTCCAAAATGACTTTTGCACGGCACCCTACTAACCGGTCCCCAACCGTGTACCAAAATTGAGCGCAATCGGCCCAGCCGTTCTCGAGATCTGGAAACGCCCCCTGCACGTGCGCACGTGCAGTAGCACCCTAACCGCAACACATGGGAATGCATTGCCTGGTGGGTGCCTACCTGTATGCCAAGTTTCACCGAAATCGCCCCAGTAATTACCGAGTTACTGAAATGGGAACAAATTTGGCACCTCTTATTGTTGTATTTTGCACGTGCAGTGGGGGTCACTCACATAGATGAAGAGTATCCGACCTTTGGTAGAAAGGATGCAGCTACCCTATAAAAATGACCGCAAGACAGTCGCTCTAGCCGCTGCTGAGATATGGGCCTCTCAAAATCATTACTTTTGCAAAACTGCTTGAACACCCTTGACTTTTCACGTGGCACGTGCCACGACGGTCACTGAGATGTATCAAAAGTAGTCAATTACGGGGTAGAAGGGATGGGGCTACCCAGCAAAAAAGACCGCAGGCCAATCGGTCCAGCGGTTGCTGAGATATAAGCCTCTCAAAAGCGTTACAGGCCGGGCCGGGCCGGGCCGGGCCGGGCCGGGCCGCTCATACTGAGATTTTTCCGTTATATTGAAAAGACTTCGGCTGCGCTCGCTCGCTCGTAATTATCTGAACAAATTGATAAATCAGCAAGGAGTTAAGATTGGAGCCAAGGCTTGAGCATTGCTCTTACATATGCTAAGCCTTTATTGCTACTCCCATTTGAATGTTTGGCATAATTCAGGGTTGGCATTTTTGCCGGCAAAAACTAGTTTATGCCATTTGCCGGTTTAAACCGGTTTTAACCGGCAAAAAGTGGCAAAAACTGGCAAAAACTCAAAACCATTACAATGCATTGCATAGACATGCATTTGAATTGGAAACATTCTAAGGGGGATTCAGTGAAAGTTATATGCTTTCAAAAAGAATAGACATATTGACCATTCGACCAGTGTTTCATACAATAAAAACTTTTTCATGGGCTTCCCGCTTTCCATTAGTAACCAGTACGTCTTTTTGGGGCGACAAATGAGCCAGTGCAAGAGTGATTCCTGCACATGCAGAAGTGCGAAGGGGTGCCTGCCACTGATTTGTGCACGTGACGGCACCCATACTCACTGGTTCCTAACGGTATTAGTACCAAATTTGAGCTCAATCGACGCCGCCGTTCTCGAGTACTGGAAGTGTCCCACACGTGCGCTTGTAGAAAGTTGACACCGACTGACTTATCTGCGACACCCATACTCATCTGTCTGTAACGGTGTCCCAAATTTGACCGCAATCGGCAGAGCCATTCTCGAGATCTAGTCGAAAGCGACCCCTACACGTGTGCACCTGCAGTAGGTAGCACCCTAACCGTGATGCATGGAAATGCCAAGATTCTTCGGAAATGCATTGTCTGACGGATGTCTACCGACATGCATAGACATTGCAGCCCGGGTAACTATGGGGGCAAATTTCAGAATGTTTAGCGCGTCTCTTAAACATCCAGAAATGCATTTGTACATTTCAAATCAATTGCTAACCAGAAAAGTTGCAAGTCTTGACTACCTGAGTTTTTGCCAGTTTTTGCCACCAGGGTTTCTGCCAGCCGGTTTAAACCGGTTAAAACCACTGGCAAAAACCAGTTTTTGCCACCCCTTGCCAACCCTATGTATTATGTTTTGCTGTTTAGTTGCAGCTTGATGTGTTGTGAGCTGTGAGTGGGGCGGAAAAAATGCCAGTTTTACAATGAGAGGAGCAAGACTGTCATTTGCTTGCATGAAAGTTAAAAGAATGTTCTAGCCCTTATAACTTAGCATCAGACATGGAAGCTATGGATCCAAGTGATGGATTTATTATCTCAGTGGATCTCAAAGCAAACTGCAGGCTCAGGCTAGGATGTATGATCCCACATTTGCATTAGATCTGAAAAATTATCCTGGATCCAGGAATCTGGATCTATGATCTCATAGGATCTGAGGATAAACCAAAAACATAGATCTATGATCTGAGTGAATCTCACCATGCACAAAATTTGAAACCAGGTTTCCAAGTGTTCTATGTCAATAAGTGCCAAAAATTATGGTTTATTGGATTATGATGTACAATCTCTTAAAACCACAAAAGCAGTGGTTTTATGAGTTATATGTCATGAATAAGTGCCATTTCTGAGTTATAACAAGTAATTTTGGGGGATTGCTGTGTTGACAAAAATCAATGAGGATCTATGATCTCAATGAATTTCAAGCAAAAAATTAGACTCAGATGTATAATTCCTATCACTATGGAACAGATCTGTCCATAAATCAAAGAGCTGGATCTATGATCCCATCAGATCTGGGATCAGGATCCATGTGATCAGATCCCAGATCTATTTTCTCAGATCCATGCACATGCCTGCTATAGCATCACATAATTTTGAGATCCCCCCATAATATATGTAAGTTGAAAAGTCATTTTCTGTCATGCAATCCATAATCTCAAACCCAAGATGGGGAGAACTTCTTTCAATGTCAAGGATAACATGGCCTTATCGGTAGACATTCAAGGGTAACAGGATAACAGGATGTCATGTGTCCTCCACAGGCATAGTTTTTTTAATTCATGCTGGAAGATTGATGCTTTCTCATTTCATGGTATACCTAACTGACAACTGGATTTTCAGATTGTTGAGTTTCAAGAAAATTACCTACATGAGTTAGAACTAAAAAGAAAGTCATTGGCTCTAACTGATACAGAATGGATGTGACGAAAGACAGTAAGTATGTTTGCACTATTTTGATTATAATCAATGCCATATAGTAGTTTATGACATTCCTTATATGCTTTAAGCTGTGTTGAATGCATTTGATATGGCTGATAATAATTGATTTATGTAATAATCACATTGTTTATTGTCAAACTAGGCAATATGTGCAGCTTCCTTATTCAGGCGTCATGCTACACCAACATACATACATACATACAACTACAAGTTGACTACCGGAATGCGGTGGCTGGGTTGAGCGCTACGCCGGCGAACCTCGGCCGCTCAGCGGTATTCAAGCCATACCACACTCAAATTGCAGGGTCATGTAACGAGAAGATGAAGAGAGGACGAGCGTTTTTTATATGGCAATCAATCAAGGTATCATATACATAATTTTCAATATTTCTTCCTCAGACTTCGCCTCCTCTCTGGAGCGGATCCGTGCTGCCATCTGCCGCAGTTCGTTCCTGGCTGTGGACTGCGAGTTCAGCGGACTGTCGACAGGTGGCAGCTCGAGCAAATTTGACACCCCAGAGGAGAGATACGCACATCTACGGCGAACGGCCTCCGGGTTCCTCGTGATTCAGTTCGGTCTGGCGGCCTTCACTCTGGAGAAAGAGAAAAACAGGTTAGATGGACAGAGAAAAGGGGTACCTAATTACATTAGAATGTAATGGTCCTGATTTATGGTGTGAGGTGGCTTGTTTCGGTGATTGGCGATGTTTTCCGAGTTTTGCTAGTTGTTACTATTCTAGTAATAACCTGGAATCCTCACAGTTTCTTGGTTTGATTTGATCACTTTAAAATCGTCATTGAAATCGGTAGCAGTATCTATAATTGATAATTGCTTTCATAATATTCCCTAATATTCCGACGGACATCGCTGCCTTCCTCATGGAATCAACTTAATAAAACGAAGAATTTATGTATGGAAAGGCCACCTTGCCATTTTTTCTGAGACTTTTCCACTGTGCGATCTCTCAGGTACATTCAGGAGACATTCAACTTCTACCTGTTCCCGCGCCACCAGAGCCAGGGCTCGTTCATTTGCCAGCCCTCCAGCATGGAGTTCCTCCTGGAGAATGGGTTCGACTTCAACAAGCTCATAAAAGACGGTACGTACAGAGTACAGCACCGTCTGTAAAGTGGCGTGTCAGTTTGTGCGACATTGAAAGTGTTGACGGTTTATCGTGGATGCCAGTTTGAATTTAGTAGATGATACGTATTCAGTGTAATGGAATCAACCTACGCGATTGAAATAGATATCACACCGTGATGTCTTTCTTGTGCACTTTAACCTCCCATCCTTCTGTCTTCTTCTGTCCTGTTCAATATTTCATTCCCCTCTTTTTCCGTCTCTTATTTCCTTTCCTGATATGCTCATTACCCTCCTTTTCACTCCCCATACGCCACTGGGCCACTCTATCACCAATTGCATCCCCTTCTCCTTCCACTCCTTCCCTCTTGCCCACGTTCTCCCCTTCTCACCTCTCCCATTTTCCGTCAGGCATTCCGTACCTGCCGCCTGCCCAGGTCGAGTCACTCCGGGACCGACTGGAGTCTCAGCTCCGTGACTCTGAGGCGGCGCCGTCCCCGGCTCAGAAGGGTACCACCGGCACCTCGGGTACTCCTGGTACCACCCTGCAGCCGACGCCCGTACCGGAGAACCAAGCCGACTTCGTGGAACGGGCCATGTCAGTGATGGTAGGGCCGCCAAAGGGGCAGCTAGGTGGTGTGTCGTAGGTTAGACAGGGTGAAATTCAAAACCTTTGAGTGCTAAGAACCTGGTGTTCCCTTTGTCTGCTTTTTTCTTCGGCATGGGAAACATGCCGTAGTGTGTTGCTTGTTGCCTTTGAATCAAAAGTTTTGTGCATGGCAGCAATATTTATCGTAAGCATTTGTAATGTTATTGCGTTCTAATCGCTCGTGCACTTTTCTTACATTTGCTTATATTTTCACTCCATTTTTTATTTTGCAGATCGGAGATTAACAAGTTCGTGGAAGGCTCAGAAGAGTACCTAGACTTCCACAAACTCAGTCCATTCCAGCGCAAACTTCTATACGATCATGTACCAAACAGGTAGGTCACTTGGGAGCTGGGATCCGCTGTCGCAGTCATGGCTTTGAGACTAAGCTTAGGGTCGTGTAGGTAGGTAGGTATGAACTCTTCAACCAGCGTATCGTATTCCGCGTTGATAAATATGATTGAGTTGATTTGTTTACAATGAAGTGAATGTGATAGAGCTTTCATGTTCTGATTATTTATCTATGTTACTATTTGAACAGGATCCATCTGTCTGTTTGTCTGTCCGCCACGCCGTGTAGTGGGTTCAATTTAGCCGGCCTACAGGGCAGACGGTATATCGTAGGGGGTTGAAATTTGCACACCTTCTAGGTGACGTAACGGGTCAGCGCCTTTTCTAGGTTCCGACTCGCTGGGGTGCACGGTTCGCGCGTGGGTCGCGCCGGAAGAACGCCAATGAAATTTTGATCGGTTCGTAGCAGGGATGCGGAGCCGGAGCCGGAGCCGGAGCCGGAGCCGCCGGAGCCGGCATATTTTGCCCGGAGCCGGAGCCGGAGCCGGAGCCGTGAAACAATATAGCCCGGAGCCGGAGCCGGAGCCGGAGCCGTCAAAAAAAGGGGGCGACTCCGGCTCCTTTTCTTACGAGGAAACAATTATTTACCTAGTTCGGTTTGACAGTACAAGGCGTAAAACAATGTGGTATTCAAAATAGCCTTGTTATACAAATACAGAAGCAACGTGTACCAATCCCATCGCCTTTTTTCTTCCACCCATATTTAATTGATCGCATAGGAGATATACTGAGTAGAAGCCGGAGCCGGAGCCGCCGGAGCCGGAGCCGCCGGAGCCGGATCATTTTACTCGGAGCCGGAGCCGGAGCCGGAGCCGCAATGACATTTCACCCGGAGCCGGAGCCGGAGCCGGAGCCGATTTTTTTCTCCGGAGCCGGAGCCGGAGCCGGAGCCGTCTGAAATTTCCACGGCTCCGCATCCCTGGTTCGTAGATCTTCATTGAGAGCCGGGGTCGACAAACTTTGTGGACTAAATGCATGCCGATCGGTGGCGGGTGCCTCGCATTGGCGGATGGTGAAATTATTGATTTTGATAAATGGTGGCGAAAGAATGTGTTGATTTTCGTTCAATAGGAACAGTTTGTGATACGAGTTAAAAAATGCACCGAGTTTGCCGCAAGGCGCCACATTTGTCTCAGGGCGTCATGTTTGCCGCAGCTCGCACAGTTTTGTCAAATATGGTCCGATATGGGTGCAATTTGGTGCCAAAATGCGCCGCGTTTGTCGCAATGCGCCACATATGCCACAAAGCGCCATTTCCGACAAATACGATTAAGCGTAATAGAATGGCACGAATAGGGGCAGGGCTGGGAACACTTTAAGTCTGATATTTCAGTACTGATTGGATCCAATTATTCTGTGACCTGACATGACCCAGCGGTGTTAGTAGGGGTAGGGGTAGTGGTAGGGGTAGTGGTAGGGGTAGTGGTAGGGGTAGGTAGTGGTATGATGGTAGTGGTAGTGGTAGGAGTAGAGGTAGGGGTAGTGGTAGGGGTAGTAGTAGGGGTAGTAGTAGGGGTAGTGGTAGGGTAGTGGTAGGGGTAGGAGTATGAGTAGGAGTAGTGGTAGGGGTAGGGGTAGTGGTAGGGGTAGGGGTAGTGGTAGGGGTAGTGGTAGTGGTAGGGGTAGGGGTAGTGGTAGTGGTAGGGGTAGGGGTAGTGGTAGGGGTAGGGGTAGTGGTAGGGGTAGTGGTAGGGGTAGGGGTAGTGGTGGAGGCAAAAGCAGAACAGTGGCCCGGGCTGATCCCAGCGGACGAGAGGTGACCTATGTGACTTGGCCTGACCCAAAGTGACCGGGGCTGACCCCTTTGACCCGTCTTGACCCCGTATCACCCAAATTTCATCCAAAAACGCCCTCAGAACAGTTCGTTTTTAAATTCTCTTCACATTTCCGTCCATATCTATGCTTCTAGACGACACATCGACATGAATCAAACACCATTCGAAAGCAAATTGGCTGGTGCCGCAATTTTTCCCTACCACGCAGCAAAGCAAGTGGCGCAGCCGCTTGTCTATATTACTATTTGAGGAGGGTGCGTCTGTCCGTTACCGAGGTCCCGACTTGGTGGTGCTTTGCGTGGACTACAGGCCAGACCGTTGCACCTAGCGCGCTGAAATTTGCACAACTTATAGATCAAGGATGCGCGACGTGCCTTTGAGGGGTCTGGGCTCGATCGGATTGATAGGGAGCGCGTGGCGCGTGCTCAAAAAGTGCAAATTCGCGTCATAGACTTTACATGTATAAATCGGCGTGCGAAATCGGGCGAAAACGGCTAATTTTGGCCGACACGGGTCCAGTTCCCGTGCAATATCTTGGTGACCAGGGATCCGACCGGCACGGGGAAAACAGCATCGTGTACAGAATTGAACGGGCTATTGAATGGTGTGCAATGCAGAGGATAGCACGCGCCACGTGCACCGGAGAGGGCACTTTTATTTGAAAAATTGCGCTTTTGAGGGATTTTGGAATTAATTTTATTTTTAGGTGACCGTTAAATGGAGCGAGTTGAATCAACGCCTATTTGCAAGAGAAAGGTACCGCCTATCATATAAAAATTGTGAAAAGCTGATTGATCCAAATCAAGGTGGTACAAATCACGGGAGAAAATGATGTTTGTCAATTTTTTGCCACTTTATTAATCACACGGGTTTTGCTCAATGATCTGGTATCTCTGGCAATTAAAAATGGCACCGTTGGAAAGAGCATTCAATTCTGTCCAAGATTCAGTCTTTATTTTTGTATGATGAGCAACAGTATTCTTAAAAATATAAATGTTCCAAACCATTACATTGTCATTTTAAGCGAAATTCATCGATGGCCCTCAAAAGACTTCACGCCAGTTTTCGAATCATTGTTAAGTAGAACGCATGAAAATACGACACGGGCACCTCGATGCGATGTATCGTTTATGTTTTATTACAAAATGCTCGGCCGTCAAAAAAGCAATCAAACGAAATGGATACCAACCAAATCGACACAGACCAACCCAATACCCACGGGTCAAAAATAACCCTTCTTCGCGTTGCGGAGCACGCGGGTAACCCTAGTACTTTCCAATTGTGATGGCTAAATGAACAAACTTCTGGTAGATTTATCCCTTTAAAGTGATGCGCATTTGTTGATAATGTATTTTAGCGATTGGGTGTAACTAAAGGTGTAATGTGTAATAACCTGGAGGTAGGTGTAATAAAGAAAGAGGAAAACAAACTGAAAGCTCATTTCTACCAGCCGTGTCTCACACCGCCCCCCCCCCCTCCCACAGGATCAGCACCCCTCTGGAGTTGGAGACGGTCCACCTCTCCGGCTCACAGCGTACACTTCGAGTCGGTCGGCCAGTCAGTGACGAGCAGAGGCGGGAGAGAGCGCGGCGCAGGGTAGAGCAGAGAGTGGACGAGGCGGCCGGCTTCGCGCAGGTCATACAGGAGATCAGCAAGTCGGTTAGTCGTGGGAAGAGTGGAGGGAGGGAGGGAGGGAGGGGATGCTGATTACTGGTTGCTGGGCCGACACCTACCGCTACTGCTGACCTGACCCCGCTCAACCCGATTTCACCCGACTCTTGCTTAAATCGATCTGGTCAGAACTGAATATTTGACCTGCTCTGAACCGGATCTGACCGTTCAACTCGACCTAGTCCGACTAGACGACCTGGCCTGACCTGACCTCGTCAAACCTGTGAATGTACGCGACCTTCGCAGCTGCCCAGCCCTGTTTTTGCTTGGCATGTCATCATCCACCTTGACCTGATCCGACCTGACTTTGCCTAATATTGTTTGACCTGACCCCTCTCGACTCTCGACCGAACATGAACTTTCCGGATTCGACACCATCTCCCTTGATGCTAAACTAACTTTACCTGACTTGTCGCGCAGGGTAAACCAGTGGTGGGCCACAACATGCTCCTGGACCTGCTACATATTATCGAACAGTTCGTGTGCCCGCTCCCAGAGACCTACAGCGACTTCAAATCGGTGGTGCACTGCGTCTTCCCTACGTAAGTTCGCCGGCATTTGAAGCTTTAGTTGAAGAGGAAGTAAATTGGAGAAAAATTTAAAGAACCTGAGTGCCACGTTTTTATATTTATCGACCTATCGGTTTTTATCAATGTCACATCGTGCCGTAGGGTATGTCGCTCGGTTCCAGTTGGCAGTTATAGTGCAATATTGCATCCATCCAAGAAAATGGCTTCATAATAACAGTGGCACAGCTCACCATCTGTATAACATTTCACGAAGGTCGAAACATAAGAATTACTATCGATCTATACAATGCAGTCCTAACTTAGCAAAGCGTTCTCAGTCGCCAGCTGATGACTGCAGCTGCAGTTTGTAAGTTGTAACGCTCTAGTGCTGCGGGTTCAATTCTGACCAGCGGTCGCTGTTTCCTCCAGTCTGGTGGACACCAAGGTGATGGGATCGACGCAGCCGTTCAGAGACCTGCTGCCGGCCACCAGTCTAGGGGAAATGACCACCTGTCTCGGCACTCACCCCTTCACGATGCCAAATATAGGTAAGAGTCTTGTACAGGCTACAGGTTCGAAGTGAAGTTCCTATACTTAGTTGAGTTCTCGCCTGAAGCTTTTTAAAAAAAAAATTGTTTTGTTCATGACGATCATGTTCATATGAGTGATGGAATGAATGAATGAATGAACGAGTAAATGAATGAATGAATGAATGAATGAATGAATGAATGAATGAATGAAGTAATGAATCGACCAGTCAATCATTCAGTTACCTAATCAATGACAATCAAATTAAATTAGGCTTGGAATGCTACCTATTTGATTCTATGCAGTTTTAGTTGTATAAATGACACGAAAACCCTGTCACACAGAGACATAACATACTCACACATATTACGGCCTACGGGAGGGACTGCAGTCGATATACATTATCTTGCCTAGCTCCCTTTGGTCGCCGTTTTTTTTCCGCGCAGTGGCGGCGGAGGGCAGCTCCGGCCGCGAGTACGACCTCAAAGACGACAAGCACCACGAGGCGGGCTACGACGCCTTCCTCACCGCCGCCTGCTTCGGCGCCATGGTCTCCTACTTGGGTGAGCAGCGAGGGAAGGGATTGTGGGGCGGGGATGGGTGATGGGGTGAAAAGGTGAGGCGTCACCGCCGCCTGCTTCGGCGCCATGGTCTCCTACCTCGGTGATTAAGGGGGGGGGGGGCCGGGGATGGAGTAGCGGGGAGGTCGCCAGATTCAGGATAAGGGGTTATGTGTGTGGCGCTCTGCGCGAAACAACTGCCGTTTGAAGGGCTTATTCCATTTTCACTTGGGTTATTAGCTGTGTTTGTTGCGTTTGCTTCTGACCCATTGGTTGCTGATCCGTGTTTAATTTTCAGTGATATATCGAGTAGAAATCGGGTAGAGCGTGTTTCCCTGTTGCACATTCTCACGGTTCTGTGTCATGCACGGCGCGGGCGCCATACATAACGCCACTTCACATAACGTGTATGACATTGCCGTACTTCCCGATGTCTGGGCGTGGCGTTAATCCGATGCCTGACGTCACACCCCGATATCTGACGTCACCCTTCTCTGCACCGTGTCCAGGACTACTGCTGAAGCCGCCACAGCCGATGCTGGAGCCCTCAGCGGAAATTGTTCGACCGTTCGCCAACAAGTGAGAAGCTGCCGAGTAGTGTTGAGATAATAGAGACACTTTCATCCCTCTCGCCCACACTACTTGAGCTTAATCTGCTGGACAACACTGCTGATTTCGATTGGATCATTTACTCTCGTATTTTTGAAAGGACGTAGAACACGCCCTAATTAATAAAAAAATTATTTTCAAAGTTTTACTCCATTAACTTTACCAACGTTTATTGTTTTATGCAGCAACATGTAGCTCATTGCGAAATGCAAATAACACCAAACCTCGCATACTCGTATATCGCTTAGTTTAATATTGTATGTAAATTATTATTGTAACATATTGTAATGACGGTTTTACTATTTGCCTTATTTCCGCATCTCTGCTTCCCGCCCCCTTGTCTCACCACGCCGTCCCCCGGCGCAGGGTCTTCGCTCAGGGCATGGCGGACATGCCGTACTTGAACATCACTGGAGAGGAGCTGACTCCCAGCCGCGACCACGTGTTCTATCTCACATTCCCGTCTCACTGGAAGACTAACGACATCATGCATATCTTCAGCCCATTCAGTAAGTTGGCCAGTGCACTCGCGGATCCAGGGAGGGGGAATTTGGGGAAATGTCCCCGGGAGTGCCCGAAATCGACGAAAATTTGCGTTTTTTTTTCTAGATGAAACAAAAAGTAAACAACTTATATTAACTTATCTTAGTAATAGTTTGCTTTAGTTTAAACTGCACAGCAATGCGTAAGGAATCCAAATCCGATGAGTTTTTGGAATTTAGATAAACTTTTTTTGGGCGGTAACCCCCTCCCGCCAGCTGCATCCAAGATCGCCAGTTTCTGGATCCGTCAATGGGCGAGCGTGTTTGTGTGTGCGTGTGAGCTATGGAATCGAGTCCGCTGTTTCGGTAACAATAACATGCACTGCCCTTAATTAACCCTCGCCGGCACAGGCCATTTTGAGTCCTTCGACGGCACAAGGGGGGGGGGGGTTGGTACGACCCCCCCCTCGCGTTTGGCCCCTGATCGAGCTAGAGCTTCGCGGAAAAAACGAGCGTGTTGCCCGTCACGAGACGAAGCCGATGATACCCAATTTTAAGGTCCTAGGTCATCGGGCGACCTTCCAGGTCAGGTCAATGACCCGAAAACCGGGAAAATCGGGACCTGTTAGAAAGTCGTAAAGTGTGGCTGCTATGTGGTTTTCCGGGGTGCTGATCACGAATATCGTGTTAGTTTTGATCAGAGATGATGTCTTTAAGCATTTAGACCAGGTCGGGTCAGGTCAGGTCAGGTCAACCGGTAGGGGTTGTGACGGGTATTCGTAATACGTGTCAACCGCCTCGGACAGCTTCGTAACATGTTACGAAGGCACCAAAACTACTTCGTAAATGTTCAAATGGTTGCTAAATTCGAATTCAGCTCCAAAAACTAGCCTACAAACATGTAAAACTCGAAAAAGTGAACCGAGGTCACCCAAGGTCACCAAAGGTCAATAACCTGACCTGACCCTCAGGTGACCTTGACACCCACCCTAATGCATGGGAGCAACATCAAATCACATGTTTGAACGTTTGAAACCACGAAAAGCTTGCAAACGCGCGGCTAATGCGAGCCGACATGCGCCGAACCGCGATTTCGGCCAAACATGGTCACAGAAAAGAGGTCACAGGTCAAAGGTCATTGGGGTCAGGGTCATGAAATTTTCAGGGTAGGTGTAAAATTGATCAATGCGAGGGTACTGAAAGTTTCGTCGCGATCGGCCGCTTTTTACGCGAGTTATTCGCGAAAAACCTTAGGGTTGCATCAACCCCCCCCCCCCCCTGTGCCGGCGAGGGTTAAAGTTCCCGCTGCCCTGAAATTCGCACAACCTCTCAAGCGTGGCTGAGGACCGAGGACAGAGAACTGACACCATCAAATCTTCCAACGCTCTGTAGTGACTGGCCGTTAAGCTTCACCGTGTTTTTTTTTCTTGGCTTTTCTTTTATTTTCGTGGTGCGTTTTTCAGCATGTTGCAACTCGGTTGCGTGAGATGATATGGCCTGTCTTTACCTGCGGATATTGATGCAACACTTTTGTCCTTTTTTTGACTGTTTTCTCTCTCTCTCTCCCTCTCCCTCTCTACCCCTCTCTCTCTCTATCTCTCTCCTCCCTCTCCCTCCCCCTCCCCCCTCTCTCTCTCTCTCGCTCTCTCGCTCTCTCGCTCTCTCTCATGTGTGAACCCTCTGCATCATCCCTTTTGGCTTTCATGACCCAATATTTTTATGGTGTATTCAATTACCATTCAATAAACGGGATCTTAATAGCACTGCTGTGTCACTACTCCTATCTCTCTCCTTTAGGCCGGGTTCACGTGGCGTGGGTGGACGACACGTCGGCATTTGTCTCGCTGGCTCGGAAGGATCAGACCACCCAGGTGTTACAGAACGTGAAGGCCTCGGGACTGTTCACACTGTGCACTTATAAGGAGTGGCAAACTCGGCAGGTAAGAAAAAGAGGGGGAGATGAGTCATGTAATAGGAAAAAAGAATGACGTGTTTCGGGGACCGTTCGTTTTCATGCCAATCCTTTGTTGATGTATTGCTTCAAGAGTCTCATTTCCCTTCAATACAATGGCAGGATTACCAGGATTACAATACAATGGCAGGTTATGAATCTACTCTGGGATTACCCTCGTTTATTGTTACAGTACTAGCCCCAGAACTAGTTTTTTCCAAATCAATGATTGGGAATGAAATGTCTTGATTTATTTAATTAGTTTCACTGTGTGCTACAGTGTTCCCAGACGTGCCACGGCTCGATTCCCCTCTGTTTCAGCGAACGACCAGCACCAAGCCAAAGCCTTCCGTCGAGTCATCGTCTATACTCGAGTCCCCCGCCTCGCGACTGTCCGCCTTCACCAGCCCCGCCCCCTCCCCCGCCCTCCGCACACCCCCCTCGGGCGGAGCTCCGCGCCAGTGTACGGCCCCTGACACCGGCCCTGAGACGGGGGCCAGTCCGGCGAACGGCGAAAAGCAGGGGACGGCAGCGGCGAAGGCGGCACGGAGTACAGCCTCTGACACACCGACCGGCCACAGCAGATCGGCGGCGAAAAAACGCAAACGCGAGTCGTCAGGTCAGTAGTTGGCGTTCTGTGAATGTATTGAACTGCATCTTATTAGGACGTATATGACGTCCATGCTCGGCGCTTGTCTTGTTGATAGGATCTTTGGAACGATTCTAATGGTTTGCAAGCATTTTATATGGGCTATCTTATCGAGCAGTATATTTTCCACAGGGGTGGGTCACAGGAGAGCTAGGTATAGCAGCCCTGTAGTGATATTCTCTCTCATCTTGCTTGATTATATTTTCCAATGGAACAGCGCAAGCTGCAGCTGCCTTCATAACTTGTTGCAACAACCACATGAAACATATACCGGGTGGCCCAAAAAAAACGTTGCGAACTTTGGAGGCCTATATCTCAAATTCGAGTGCAAATAACGAGCCAAAATTTTCATCAAGGGTGCGTCACTTCTTTGCGCATTGGTATGCCAAATTATAACACTGTACCATCATTTTCAATCCAGCCATCTTATGTTGAATTAAGTAAGACGTTTTTGCTATTTTTGCCGATGTTGAACGGTAGCGATGATTGGCTTAGACGTACCAAGTGAGAAAAAATGGAAAAAGAGAACACGTGAATGAAACCAGCAAGTGTGTTGTTAGTTTAAATATTTTTGTCCCACTTATGTACCAAATATTCAAATACTGAGCCAAAATAGTGTTAATGGATGCCATTCGTTTTAACAAGTCCTGTTTCGAGCAGACGGAGTGGCACGGTGCATGTGTTACTGCTGATCGCCCTCCCTGCACGAAGATCAAACAGTAAATCGACCGAATAAGGAAAAAAGCTAGAGGGAATGTGTCACCCTGAGGCCTGAACTATCAATGAGACTAGTTGCCAGTAGCAGTCATGGCTGAAGGCTGTGGTGCCGAGATGGAAGTGGCCCGTTCACTCACATTTTTTAGTAAACATCTGAGCAAAAAAGTAATTTTTACATGGCATGCTAGAAACACAAACCGTTTAAAAAGTAATTGACCGAATAACATAAAAATCATACCATTTACTGAAAATGCATGCCGCATTGACTATTGGAAGTTTCAATGTTGTGTCTATATCACTTTCTGAGAAATATTGATTTAAAGTTGGGAACGTTTTTTCTGGGCCACCCGGTATGTATTTCATAGAAATTTGCTCAACAGATGGACTTCATGTTTCCTATTTTGTTTCAGGAAGCTCTGAGGGTTCCGTGGAGCATAAGAAAGATTCCACATCGAAAGCGAACGCTGAGCTGTTTGCTGTGCCTGACTGGTGATCACCGATCGAGGCGACATCTATAAAATGAACCTATCGCTACGCCATCTTTGCATCGGGAATGTGGGGTGAAATACATTGCTGAATCATCATAAAGGTGAATACATGCCTTTGTCTCTCTCCGTTTTTGCTGCGAGATTCCTCCAATGATTTGTTTGGATTTTCTCATGCCAGTCGGTTGCCGATTGAAGCGATTTTCGTTGCCCGCGAGAAAAAGCGAATGAGGCAGTGGCGGCCGGAGGTTGGCTGGAGGGACGACGTCGACGGTAATGGATATACGCGGCGTCATTGAGCCTCCTGGCTTTTGGTGATTCTTTTTCGCTGTTTTTTCGATTGAATCATGTTTTGTGACACTAACTTAATGGCAACATCTTACAGATCTTACACTTAAAATCAAAATGGAATTTGGGTGGGTGTGGCGTTAATATGCCTGGTTGCATAGCATTTTTGACGAGGCTTCAGCTAATTTATTTTGCGATAATTTGATGCAATGCTCTTGGTAGATTTGGAAGGCGTCATTTTGTAAATGGTTAAGCATCTGCGTCTATTGCAACATCACGGGCGGAGCTATAAGCTTGCAACTTATGTAAACGCGGCCAAGATTCCTCTACGCCCTCTACGCGGCTATTGATGCGTTATCGGTGTGCAAAAGAAAACATGCGCGTTTGATACAATGGTGGCGCATTGGTGTCTATGTATGTATTTCACTACGTCTGTCAAACTAGCAGCGAGCAGCGAGCAGCGAGTCCAGCAGCGAGAAACGGGCCATCCCGATTTAGCTGAAATTTGGCTCACAGAGCCTTCTCAGCACGCTGATTTCGAAAATCATGGTCTCTAGGGTGGAAATATTGACCGTTCTCGAGATAGAACCCTCTAAAGTTCTTACCATCCATGACCGGGCCATCCCGATTTGGCTGAAAATTGGCTCACAGAGCCTTCTCAGCACGCTGATTCCGAAAATCATGGTCTCTAGGGTGGAAATATTGACCATTCTCGAGATAGAACCCTCTAAAGTTCTTACCATCCATGACCGGGCCATCCCGATTTGGCTGAAAATTGGCTCACAGAGCCTTCTCAGCACGCTGATTCCGAAAATCATGGTCTCTAGGGTGGAAATATTGACCGTTCTCGAGATAGAACCCTCTAAAGTTCTTACCACCCATGACCGGGCCATCCCGATTTGGCTGAAAATTGGCTCACAGAGCCTTCTCAGCACGGTGATTCCGAAAATCATGGTCTCAAGGGTGGAAATATTGACCGTTCTCGAGATAGAACCCTCTAAAGTTCTTACCACCCATGACCGGGCCATCCCGATTTGGCTGAAAATTGTCTCACAGAGCCTTCTCAGCACGCTGATTCCGAAAATCATGGTCTCTAGGGTGGAAATATTGACCGTTCTCGAGATAGAACCCTATAAAGTTCTTACCATCCATGACCGGGCCATCCCGATTTGGCTGAAAATTGTCTCACAGAGCCTTCTCAGCACGGTGATTCCGAAAATCATGGTCTCTAGGGTGGAAATATTGACCATTCTCGAGATAGAACCCTATAAAGTTCTTACCATCCATGACCGGGCCATCCCGATTTGGCTGAAAATTGGATCACAGAGCCTTCTCAGCACGCTGATTCCGAAAATCATGGTCTCTAGGGTGGAAATATTGATCGTTCTCGAGATAGAACCCTCTAAAGTTCTTACCACCCATGACCGGGCCATCCCGATTTGGCTGAAAATTGGCTCACAGAGCCTTCTCAGCACGCTGATTCCGAAAATCATGGTCTCTAGGGTGGAAATATTGACCGTTCTCGAGATAGAACCCTCGCAGCGAGTCCAGCAGCGAGAAACGGGCCATCCCGATTTAGCTGAAATTTGGCTCACAGAGCCTTCTCAGCACGCTGATTCCGAAAATCATGGTCTCTAGGGTGGAAATATTGGCCGTTCTCGAGATAGAACCCTCTAAAGTTCTTACCACCCATGACCGGGCCATCCCGATTTGGCTGAAAATTGGCTCACAGAGCCTTCTCAGCACGCTGATTCCGAAAATCATGGTCTCTAGGGTGGAAATATTGACCGTTCTCGAGATAGAACCCTCTAAAGTTCTTACCATCCATGACCGGGCCATCCCGATTTGGCTGAAAATTGGCTCACAGAGCCTTCTCAGCACGCTGATTCCGAAAATCATGGTCTCTAGGGTGGAAATATTGACCATTCTCGAGATAGAACCCTCTAAAGTTCTTACCATCCATGACCGGGCCATCCCGATTTGGCTGAAAATTGGCTCACAGAGCCTTCTCAGCACGCTGATTCCGAAAATCATGGTCTCTAGGGTGGAAATATTGACCGTTCTCGAGATAGAACCCTCTAAAGTTCTTACCACCCATGACCGGGCCGCGAGTTACCTAAGTGTGGAACTACAAGTCGATTTTAGGGCTCTGATTGGTGACTTTGGTCGGGGGATGACGCTTATAGCATGACGTCACTCGCGTACTTGGCCGGACCAACGGCGCGGCGCAGGCGCGCCGAGCCAACCCAGAGGCTCTCAAACTCAATTGTACAGATCCTGCGCATTGAAGGGCGAAACTTCGGCGAGTTCGCTTGAGTTTGGAAGCCCCTGCCAGAGAACTGGAGACGGCCGGATTATTTGCTGGACAGTGGGCAGCGCAGATGGCGATTGACGGTGCCAAAAAGATGATAGGGAAAAAGGGGTTGAGACTTGAGCAGTGAATTATAAGCCTGTTGCATAGCTGAGTGGTAAATTGTGAAATACTTAAGGTTTGAAGAGATGCAGTGTAGTTTAGCCGACTCAGGGGCATTCTGCCGAGTTATGTAAGGCGGAAGGGTCGCAACTCGCAAGTCGTTTGTTTACATGATTGCCTGATTAACCCTAGAACGCCTAGGGGGGGGGTTGTATCAACCCCCCCCCCCTGAGGTTTTTTTTTCGAAGTGCACGCTAAACGGCTTGTCGTAGCGGGCTGAAATTTTCAATACCCTCTGGGGCAACCTTTGCGCATCTTTTGCCGAAAAAAAAATTGCTCGGGTCATGTCAGGTCACGGAGTTATGACGTCATAAGAGGTACAGCCTCCGTCCGGATTTTCACAAACTGAGTGCCAACGCCCGAGGTTTCCTGCCGGTGGTACGGACATCGTTTGATGGATCGTGATGAAACTTCCCATGCATGTTGGGGCAAGTATTGGCTATCATATGGTATAAGAAATTTGACCGGGTCAGGTCAGGTCACGGAGCTATGACGTCACAAGAGGAACAGCGTCCGGTACTATTTTTGAAAAGCGCCCGAACCACTATTTATTTTGCTAATTCTTGTCACCTCAATGGGAATATGCAGCAATATTAGCTTCTATAGGGAGCAAATGGACCTCCCAAATCCAAAAATACAATCAGATTTCAAAAATTTAAATTTTGATTTTTCGAATTTCTGCCGCCGACTGTGACCTTGCCGACTTCCGGCGCTCCCAACGCGCCATTTTTAGAGCTAGGGAAACGAAATACATACCAAACGATAGAGAATTGATCAAGGAACACGATAGTGAAGGTTTCAAGTCGATATCCCCCACCGTTTCGCCGCAATCGCCGCCGAAAGTTGAAAAAAGTCTATTTTTCCGAAAATTTGACCTTTGACCGGTCAAAAGTAGGTCAAATGTTGACCTAGGACCAAAAAATATACCACCAATCGCGAGATCTCGTTGAGAGCAATCCGTTGGTTTTTTCCGCTAAGCTCTACGACCTTCCGTTTCGAAACGCCAGGGGGGGGGGTCGTAACAACCCCCCCTGGTCGTTCGTGTTATGAGAAATGGCCTGGTCGTGCGAGGGTTAAAATGTAAAGCGTACCTAATGTTTAGTTGATAATACAGCGAGGTTGGGCATCTGCTCAATCCATTTCTTCTCTGCAATAGTGCATTCGCCACTGTAATTCATTGTAAGAGGCACTGGGCTGCGCCACCTGTTAATTATTCCGAAACCACCAGTGAATGGTCACACTCACTCACAACAATACGAATCGTTCAGTCGTGCGCTGGGGGTCCGCCAAGTTTGAGTGTGCTGCAGAATGCAGACTGGACCGCCGAGAATATAACACTTCCGTCTCCCTGGGCGAGCGGCGCATTGGAGCCGAAGGAAACTGCTTCAGTTTTTTTTTGTGGGGAAGATACCCATTAGGGTGGCACTTAAAAATCAATTTTTGATTTTTAATGCATGCGGGTGGTTTTCCGGTTCCATTCCCGTAAAAAATAAGGTAGGCAAATTTTTATGGGAAAATATTTATGTTTAGAGGTCGCGAATCAAGGTCAAAATTGAGATTTTGGTAGCATATTTCAATATCATTAAAATCGCTTCTGAGTTTCCTATTACGCTATAATCGGATGATAATAAGGCATTTCTTAGTCATTTTCATATTGTTTATTGATATTCCATGCAGCTTCGGCCACGCCAGAACGCTGTTCTATGTACTCCACTACTCCAGTTCCTCCTCTTTAGTAGATTATTGGCGCCTCATTGGAGGGAGGGGTATCATGGGCAACGGGCACCCAGATCACTTTGTGTGTAGCCTGGTTAGCAATTGCAGTCGATCTTCGGGTGTCGGGTTAGCGTTTTCTGTGATCTTTTCAACGACATGGAGGAAGAACTGGCGCTAATCTTTGTCTTCCATGAGTGCCAGTCCTACATCAGCGCCATACCGCGCCTGGTGAAGTCATTCACCACCCGCAGCTCCCGGACTACACGAGCTGCGGTTTGGTAGCTGCTGTCCTCCCAGTGGCCTTGGTCATTGATGATGAGCCCCGCGTCCAGGTCGTGTATCCTTGAGAGCTTTTTGAACGATGGTGTGAGGAAGCTCGCCAACGTCTCGGTCGCGAGAGCGGCGTTCATAGTGTCCACTAAGGACTTATGGGGCGGGTCCCCTCTCCTACAAGTCTATTGCCCGCACCATGTCTTGATTGAGCCCGAGGGTCGGGGTCTAAAAGCTCCAGAGTCACCAGCCGATCACTCAATTATGTATGTATTGACACCAAAAGCCTTCCACATATGGCGTGGCGATTACGGCTTAGATCCGAGTATAATGGGTAACAATCATGCGGGCAGGGGGAAGAACACTCAGCACTAGACGACAGTCATCCATCGATGGGGGTCGCGACAATAATCATATACATATGTACACAAGACAAACAATATATATACATAAGCACAAACAGATCGTCCACCAATTGGCGGCATGCCCTGCCTACTACTAAACAGACTCGTCAGCGGCGTAGCGGGGATTTGTTAATCAGCGCGGCCCTGGCAGACCGGGCGAAGCTGGCAGGTGGCAGCTGCACTACCTGGGGTGGGAGGCTATTCAATAGCGCCGCGGCACGGTACTCAAACCGCCGTTTTCCAGTTTCAAGCCTCGGTCGGGGGAGATGAAGGAGATGATCCTGCCGTGTGTGCCTGTCTCGAAAATTTTGGTTGGGGACGAACAGTGCAGCGAGGTTCTCGGGCTCTTCATGCTTAATGACCTTTTGCGCGATCGTGAGTGAGTGTCAGGAATTACTACAGGTGACAGCCGAAGACCGGGACTGTCGCCTTCGACAGCTCCTTGTCGGGGTAGGTGCAGAACGAGTTCACGAAGGTCAGGTCCAGAGCCGGCGCAGTGGCAGTAGAGTCCCAGACCAGGCGGCGGCGGCGGCGGCGAACTTGCAGGCAAC